TTTTATATTTTCGACCTTTTCTTAAAATGGCTAGCCAAGTTGCTTCGATATTTTATATGCAAACACCTTGGACGGACCTCACAGATTATTCCTATTTCGTGAGAACAAGTTAAATTTTGTATTTTAATGATACATTTTTCTCATTTTTGGAAAAAAAAGCTGTTTTCAACTGACTAACTACAATGTATATGTATATGTTATTTAATATCATTTGCTACCTGTTTAGTAATTAGACTCCAACATCGTAACTGCAGGACATAGATTCTTTGCAAATGAACAGTTCACTCTGCAACTGGGCTGTGGCCTGTTAGTTCAAGTGTTTCTTTACACCTTCATCTTGAATTATATTGAATGCTGGCGACAGGGGATGCTTTTCTCAAAGATTGTTTCTCTGGTGACAGTACGTCTGCTAATGGATTCAGTAATGATAACTTTTGCCGAGTTTTGTTCTGATAAGAAAATTTTCTAACCCTAGGGGTTGGGAAAGGGCGTTTTGCTCTTGCCCTGCATATTAATGTAATAAAACAATATAATTCTTAGTATGAATGAACTTAGCAGGCGTGCAGTGACCAACAAAAGCATCTTGATGAAGGCGAGTTTTCAATCAAGAAGTTTGTCGCAATGAAAGCCAGTCAGTAAATGAGTTCGCTTCTCGGGTACGTTTGTACAGCTGAGCTTACGATGTGGGTTTAGTTACACTGAAAGACTACGTTTTGACTTTTACAAATGTTGTATAAATGTGTGTATAAACTAAAGTTCAGTTAAATATCAGTTCAGGGTATATCAGTGATTTGGTATAGTATGCAATACAATTCGATGCAAAGACAAGCACGCTAATGAGAGTTCTTATTTTATATTTTCAGGTCAGTAACAATGATTGGGTCATTGTTGCCAATGTGATTGACCGCATATGTTTCTGGGTTTTCGTCCTGACCTATTCTATAGGAGCTGCTGTGTTGTTGACCCGGAAATAAAACCCTAACGACGAGCATTAGTATAGGTCTCATGCCACTAATTAACAAATGGCTGCTCGTAGCCAATTTAAATGCCTTGAAAGAACCAATGAAATTGTTTAAATATTTTTTCTCAGGTGCTCCCTGTTTGAGGGCGTAATCACCTGGGTCGAAGGTGAGACCAACATGTAGTCTTTTGTTTACTACTTAGCGGCTGTGTACCTGTGGGTTTATTCTGTGTGTATTTGGATGTTCTAATCTTGGTGTTTTTCCAGTGATTTCTCTAGGTGCAATCTAAATACAGTAGGTTTGTCTTGTTTACCTAAGATTTGTAAGAGTTTGAGCTGGCCAACATATTAGTTTTTTTCATATGGTTGATTACTGGCATGTTGATTTCCCATTTTTGAGCCATGTTTTCAACTTTCTTCGTCGTTTTCATATAGCAATCTCGTCATATGTTAACATTGTCGTCTATGGAAATTCAATTAGTGGTATGAGCCCTATAGTGGCCCGTGATCTCATGCGGCTCAAATGGTGTATTGATATGTCTCAATGCGTATATGTTTGACCCGGAAGAAAAACCCTAGCGACGAGCATTAGTATAGTGGCCCGTGATCCCACGCGGCTCAAAGGGTGTATTGATATGTCTCAATGCGTATATGTTTTATAAATTGTGACTAGTTTTAAACCATATAGTATCGCCGTGTGTTGTTAGATGCTGGGCTCATTATGCTGTTTGCAGGTGTTGTAACTCAAAAAAATGAAGAGCAATTTTTTTCACCTTATGCAATTTAAAATTGTAATATAATGAGACCTTCAGTGGTTCGGAGCAATCGGTTAAAGCGCGGTAGTCGTCGCGCTGCGCATGTGCGAGATATATGGGTCTCATATAAACAAAGATGGCGACTTTGACTGTTGCGCAGATCAACGAGTACGATCTGAGACGTTTCCAAGCTTTAATTAAATAATTTTCATGTTATTGGAAGGTATCGAAGGAGTCGCCGGCGGTAATCAGTGTAGGTCGCGCCCAAATCAAACCCTCATACTTGTGATTTCCATTTGAAGAACGCATTTTAAAAATAGTATTACTAATGTTTTTTCATTGTTTCTTATTTTTAAGTCTGTTTTTTTTTTGTATCTAGAGATTATTTTGATACTGTAATCTTCAAATATTTAGTATTCGAAACACATTTATATTTTGACTACTTCGTATTATTGACGTTTTTCCGCGTGTGTATTTTTCTCGTTATAGTAATTTTATATTTAATTGATTTATATTAATTAATGTTACAAGAATTTATCATAATATAAAGAATTTAAAGTGGGATGCAACGCCAGGTCGGGTGTCGCCATGACGTCACATATGAGCTGATGCTTACTAATACTAAATGTCACCATGATGATGCAATGCTGTGTAGTGCCTTATCAACACAGTGACATCTGCTTTGGTCATCACAGTAGCTGACTCCACCCACGGCAGAAGATATGTTTGTATCATGGTAAGTGCTACAAGGTAACCGATCAGATCCAGCATGCTTTGTGTAAACAGTGTTTATTGAATGAGGTAAAATAAATTTGGGTTCAAAATAATTGTAGTGTGTAAGACGCGTGGTTGTTTGCAAACATGTGTTGCGTAATGCGTCCTCGGTCGAGACGAGACATTACATCACCTTAGATGGTTACGTTTGTACAGATTCTATGCGACAATTGATAAAATAAGAGAGGGACAGAGACAGCTCCTGGAAAACAGTTTCCAGGCATTATCCAAAGATGTTTTTGAGATTTCGAACCTTTTACATTTGAAAAATTCAAACCTACTTCTAGACCATATACGTATTAATATTGATACCTCGGGGGCTGAGCTACGTCACAAGACGTTCCACGTTGCTACGACGCGCACCACTGTACTTGCATTTCTATGGGCTCTGTGCGCGCTGCTGTGGAACGCCGATCGAGCCGGTGAAAATTCAAGAAAACAACACAAACTCAACTTTGAAGTAGTCCTGAACAACCAAATTTATATATGTTACACACGTCTCAACAATCATCCCAAAGCACCGTTTTCTGCGAGTTTTCACCGCGAGGGTTGCCATGCCCTGAGAATACCAAAATGTATTATAGCGAGCGCCACCAGAGCATAGAATAGCCAAAATCTTTTTGAACTTTTGTTTCTTCAGTAAAAACAAAAGATTTATAACATGCAACTGAAATACATTTAGGCGCCCCATCACATTTAGAATTCGTAGCAAGGCGAATCCGCTTTATTTTGAAAACAAGTTTTTTGAAAGTGACAGAATTGATGATTAATCTAGTGGGTATGGGAAGACTAAATATTGGAATGAATGAAGAAGGAATTTGTGAGTTAGCATATGTAATGATCATGACTGGGTCGATGCTGCAATTTGTGCGTTCAGGTAAAGAGCGCCCCCATATGTAACTATGTAAGCCTAACATTTAATGTAAGTGCAATTAGACAATAAAATATTTATACATGTAGTCACGATTTGTTTTTACTTTATTACAGTTTACTGTATCTTGTGTTTATATTATTAGCTGTTCAAATTTTTCCGAGAGCAGATTTCCGATTGGACATTAATGACTGCCTTTGTTAGTTTCTGGCTACAACGCGACCAGATGTCTGAGGGGATTGATTCAGGGACTAGCCTTACAACTTTTTCAGCAGAATACTTTTGTTAATATCGGCTCGCCAGACATACCGGTTCCTGTAGAAAAGTAGTACGGTATACACATAATATATTTCCCTTTTCGTGACGTGAAGTTTCGTTGACGTTACACGGTCATTGTGATATGGATTTGTCATATGCACTTTCTCACGTGAAGATATATACACATATACGATGATTATGTCCATATCCAAGGTCATGTACAATTGACATGTGATTGTTGTGGTGGTACTGCGTGGGCAAGTGAAACTATTCGCATTTTTTGAATTATAATTGACATGTAAATTGTTGAGTCAACTTCCCCCTTCTGTGTTGCCACCCAGTAATTGAGCGGCACGACGTAACGCTACATAACGCAACGCTACATAACATAATACAAGAATGGTGCGACATAACGTAACGCGATACAACGCAACGCTACATAACATAATACAAGAATGGTGCGTCATAACGTAACGCGACACAACACAACGCTACATAACATAATACAAGACTTGGTGCGACATAACATAACGTAACGCGACACAACGCAACGCTACATAACATAATACAAGACTTGGTGTGACATGACATAACGTAACGCGACATAACGCAACGCTACATAACATAATACAATACTTGGTAAGACATAACGTAACGCAACGCAACGCTACATAACATAATACAAGACTAGGTGCGACATAACGTAACGCGACGCGGCGCTACATAACATGATACAAGACATGGTGTGACATAACACAACGTAACGCGACGCAACGCTACATAACATAATACAAGACTCGGTGCGACATAACATAACGTGACGAAACACGACGGTTTATTCGACATAACGTAACGCAACATTATGCAGCAAAACGCATACTTGATGCGACGTAACGTAATGTAATGTGACGTAACGTAACGCGCTACTTAAAGCGATTTAATATAAAGTCACGTAACCTTATCGTTGCGTGAAAGTTCGATGTAAAGTAATTGAAATAACATGTTCTTTACTTGTGTTTGTAATTTTCGTAGCCAGGATTAAGTGTGCGTGATATGTTATTACCACCTTTCCTGCAATAAATACTGCGCACCTTCTTACTATCATCCAAGATACATTGTAGACCACCTTGACAAAAAATTAAAAACGTAATCCTACTGAAATCTTTTGAAAAATATAGCCATATTGATATTATTTAATTTACTCAGCATTAACATTAACGAAATGTGTAATACATAGTAATAATATAGTTTTTTTTTTATTTTCGATACAACACACTTTGTTATTGAACACGACGTATTTGCGTATTAATATGTTTTACTTACTGCCTTGTGTATCACATATTAAGAAGAAGGAGAAGAATGCAGGGGTAAGTAAGAATGACGTAGTCACATTTACCAATCGGTTCGATCGCTGTATATTTAGGTCGTCGGCGACTTTCTTCTGCCACAAAAATCGTGTGGTGACGATGTCCACTGGGAATATGGCCACTCCATTACCTGTGCGCGAAAAATGTCAAATAAGGGTTGTTGATTTCACACCATTTAAGAAATGGACACACAATGACACGAGAGAACAGCACTCCAGTTCATCTCTGGCGCAGCGTTAATGTGTTTCCACTTCTTCTCACTATCATCCTTCTTCGCGACCTTTTACACAATCTCCTCAATGAGTCGGCCTCTTGTCTCAAATGGCCCGAAAGATCAAACAGGGCCCTTCAGACATCAGAGCTTCTTTGATAGCACTTTATGTACATGTTGCAGTTAAGTCCTTTCTCAACTCTCAAGGTGATGCGATGTTTGATTTCTACCCGCCGAGAACTGATATTGACAACAGTACGATGACTGTGTATATACGCCAAGTTCTTCGAATAACCGCGGTACCACCCCGACCCCCGCATAAGCGCCAGGGTCAAATGTTACTCACATATATTTTATTATTACCGGTGAATAGGTCACTAATCAATATTAGCTCCGAACCGTCGTTTTAAGTGGCACACTTACTCGGTGTTGTTAGACAAATTATTATGTACGTCACAAAATGTAAGCATGTACGCAACATGAATTGTTTATAGAACCATCTCGCTTTTATGTGGTTATATGAAAGATATTTCGACCGAGAGCAGTTTACTGTTCATTGCACTTTATCAGCTGAATTGTACAAATATCAATACAAAGTGCAAATATCTTAATACATAATTCATCATCCAGGCTGAATAGCTCAGTATTTAAACAATACAAATTGACACAGCACATTTTCTATCTGGTTTATTTTATAGTTGTATTGAATGTGAATACTGCTTTATATAGGTTTGGTTCAAGTTAAAGAGTTTATGTCACCTTCTTCGGTCTTTTAAT